CATAGCAAAGTCCTACTTTTAAGTACAAGGATCTGACTGACTAGTTTGCGATGACAATGGCTCGTCTCTGAAAACAATTAGCTCACATTGTGTTGCATTGAGACAGCTTTAGAGCAGTGAGACAAAGAGCGCTACTCATTGTTGTATACAAAAAAAATGGTCACTGGCGGATTGACACTATCCCTCTTGCCTAAATGGAAAGCATGTTCGTTTTTGTTGCTTTCCTGAATAAATTGAGATTACTGAGACGCTTGCTTTCAGAGTTGAGCCATCAAGAGGCTTTGTGACAGAATATTGAAACTAAATAGCTCATTGCCAGATGAACGATTTGAATAAAACTACTCAGCTATCTTGATAGTGTTAAAACCTCACTTGGATTGAATATCGTTACAGATACCAACTTGTATCAACGAATGAACATAAATTTTGATCAATATCTTTTTTGATCGATGATTGAGTCTTCGACGATTCAAGAGAAAATTTTTACAATCGAAGATTAAATTTTTCTAAATGGTTGCACAAGGATGGATGGCGTCCTGGACAGCGATTAAGGGAAATACAATGGTGAAACTGCAGAAATGTACATTGGCTGGCATCATTGCAGACTTAATGCCATACTTCATTTCCTACATCAAAAACTACTGAACGTAATTTCTTGAAAACTGTGGTGATTTATTTTATCTATGTAAGGAATATTTTGTGAAATTTGTAAGTCATGATGGTGGTTCTGTCTCCTTTGAGGAAATAAAGTAGGAGAGGAGATTTTGAAACACAGCAACCGAGATACGCACTTTTGCAGTTTCCCCGTTGATAAGAGATATTTTGGTACAGTTAGGTGATTACGCTGATCAGAGTGAATGGACCCAAGGCATTGGGAGCAAATCAATCCACTCTGAGGACAAAACATATCTAATGGAAGTTTTCGGCGCAAAAAGTCCTTTGTCGTTTCCAATAAAAAAATTACAGTTCAGAAAGAAATTTAGACTATGGAAAATAGGATTAAGGTGTACTTTTGGCATTCAGCTTGATGGAGGAATAAAATTTTAAGACATTGGTTCCTTTAACTGATTTCTATCTGAGTATTACATCTTTCATCAGTTTCGCTAAATTGATGACTTGAACCAGAGCTGGTTTGACGAATTCTTGAGAATCCAAATTATAAAACATCAAAAGACAGCAGAGCAGAGTTTTCAAACTATCAAAGCATTGAATGTGATAGAGAAAGTACCTTTTCTACACCAATCACTCTTGAGCATTCTCTAGAGATACGTTTTCAACTGAACACAGTACATCAAACAGTCTAGCAGGTTAACGAAACTTGAAGAGGTTCTAGGTTTGAAGTGCTCCCAAGCAACCTACAGCTAACTGTTGGATAGACTGTGCAGTTAAAAACAAAGGTGAAGAACAATGCTAAAATGTGGGAAACAAGGCAAAAAGAGGTAAAAAGAACCCACAAGGTTTTGGCTGATTATGCATTCAATACATAATCAAACAAAAATTAAATAAACTTGAATTATCAGAAATTATTTTGGTCGATTTATGTTTTTGAATTTGTTTAATTTCATACGAGTGATAATGACTGCACTGACAGCCGAAAAGTTCCGAGTTTTTTTTTTTACCTACTTAAGCTGTGTTTCCTATAGTTTAACATTGTTCTTCTCCTTGTTGTGTCACAGGTTACTCATAGTTATCTTAGTCCTTCAATGGAAACTGAGTCGGGTTGTGCAGAAAAGATACTTCCGTTAAAATTTTACATCTAATATCCGGCGTGCAATATGACTTTAAAAAATAAAATATCATCAGGCTACTTGGAGATAATGCTTCGATTAACAGATAAAACAAAGATGACCTTAAAATAATTCATTTGTGGAGACGCATAATTTTCAGTTCATTTCCGTAAAAGACGCTCAAAAATTATAGGATTACTTTACTATGTACTTGATATTGAACCGCAGAAAATACTCCAACGTAAAAGCAATACCCAATAGAGAGCAATACATAAGTACAATGTTTACTTGGTGGTTAAAAATATTGTCCCGAGACTGAGTAATCTTTACAAAACTTTTTAAAAGTAAAAGAGAGCAAAGGCTAGAAACATACGAAGAAAGAGGATAAGCTTAACATGGACGTGGGGTTCATGAATAGAAAAAAATATCCGTAAGGACATGAGTGCTACTTATAATACGGAAAATTTTAAGTACTCGTGCAAAATTATTTACAAGCTCTTCTCTAATTAAAGATTGGGGGGGGGGGGGGGGTGTTACAAAAACTCACTGTTAAAAAGTCGTCTGAGATAATTCAACCATAGTTAGATGATCAAACTCATAACAAACACAGTGCAACAGTACGGGTTTCTTTAATAACGGATCTAAATTCACCGAACTTCATTTGTGTTTTTTTAGAGAACATCTCAGATTCATTTAGAAATCAGGACACATAAATATCAAACCCCAAAACCGACGGTCAGTTTGCTCTGAATTTAATCATCTAGTTCAATGTGTGAAAAGACAGTCTATTTTTTCTTGCACTTCCTTCATTAAAAACGATCATAATTTCTTGATACCTTAGGGTCAATACTTAGAAAGAGTTGACAATCAATACATGAAAAGATAATATAAAAACTGGCGAAAAAATTGACCCAAAAACACCTGATTATTCCTTCAAAGAAATTCACCGAGGTCTCAATGTAGACCGCAGCAAGGTTTCCACCCATGTCAGTACTGCGGTGCCTAAAAATTAGTTTTCGTCACTGTTATTTACTCTCACTTGACCTGCCGTCTCTGGAATTTTCCCAAGCGATTTTCTGTGTCTTTCATGAGTTTTCCTGAGATTAAGAATATTCTATAAAATGAGAGTTATAATCTGAAAAATTTGATTATGGTTCTTTATTTTTCTGCCAGCAAAGTTTTGAGGGGACTATTTTTCCTGCATTCAGCAAAAGGTAATCCATTCGGATAGAAAGATATTGCAAAAACGTTGTCACAACGTTACTGCTGAAATTAATGTTGCAGCAGCATTTTCGCAAATACTTTATTTCCCTTCAATTATGAGTAGCTGAAGACCTAATAATTTTGTTAAAGAGATTCATGTAGCTGCTATGGAAAATAACACAGAGAGGATTACTTGAAAAAATTCTTTTTGGTGGTTTAAGAAAAATGAGAAAGAGCTACAAAAGTGACCCAAGTAATAAAGAACTATACGTTCCTTGTCACTCCAAAATAATACTCAGATCCAACATCACAGGCGATTACAGGCAAAATGATTGGCCCTTTATAACGAGTATCAGACCAAAAAATACTAGTTTTGATTCGATTTGCAGTTATTCAACATTTTTTACAGCAAATTAAAACGTAGTGCCACTTCTAAAGAAACTAGAATTCAGAGAAGAGAGGGTGAAAGCAGTGATCACTACGAGAGTTGAAAATAATTCTACAGAGTTAAAAGCTCAGACTATCAACATTATAATTTAGCGGATAAAAGTTTGACTGCAAAAAGTTTTGTAAAAATGCTGGGTGGATTTTGGTTTAACTTAGAGACAGTTTTAATGCTTCAACAATAGTCTTCTATGAGCCTCAGAAATTTTGGTGAGCACACATTGTTTGTATTAACAGTGATTACCTTTGCGTTATGTTTAAATAATAAAGTATCTACGGATTAAGAGAATATTGTATTTTAGTAAGCAGACTGTGAAAGATCAATCTTTTTGGCACAATGCAGCTAAAACTACAGCTCAAAACCGAACATCCCTAATCAGTGAGATGAGTTTTAAAAACCAATGTGTAGTAATTACTATGATTTAGTGAGTAAATGTTTCCTTGAAACTATCTTTAAGAATACATAATATGTAATCTCCTTTAAAGACATTTGAATGTTAAAACTTCCTCTCAACTGAATCTGTGTCTGTAAGACAGGCATAAATCCAGGAATTCATGAGCTCTAGCATCCTACATAATTAACAAAAGCAAGGACTCATGACTTTTTGGACTTACGCCTGTCTAGAAGACACCAGTTCAATTGCAAACAAAGAAAAATCATGAACCATCTTCTGAAAGAGAGCTCACTTGTACTTAGATCTGAACTTATTTTTTCAAGTCACCATATCTCTTATCACAAGTCTGCGTCTTACAGTGTTTGGGTTTCACCCATTTCAAAAGTTTCCAGAGTGATTCTGAAGTTCATTCTCTGAAAAAGTTTTAGGTTTATTTACCTTCCTTTCGTAAAATTGGCAAATATCTGACACTTAAAAAACCTACATTAAAAACAAAATTTACAATGGGCCTGTTGCAAACTTTTGCTAGAGCAAAAATAAGAGTTGTTTCTTGTAGATAATGCCTCAAAAATCACGATGAGCGCATCGGCAAAGTCTGAAATGCACTCATAACTTCACAATCTGCGTAAGAAATTTGCGTTTTTTTAAGCTTCCCGCTTCAAAAACGATACTACGGCACAGGTGAACATTTTGTTAGAGGAGTCGCTCCATCGTCGGCGATATTCATCATGGCCGACGCTTGCTCGCAGTTCCGTGCGTGATTCGAGAAGAGTTCAAGGTCAATCAATTCGGGCGTGGAAAATATGAACGTTAACACACCGATTGTTATCCGGTCTAATCCAGTTCAGGTGTTATATCTCGTCCCATCAAACGTGTTTCGGCGGATTGGCGTCGGCCATGATGATTATTGCCGACGATGGAGCGACTCCTCTTACAAAATGTTCACCTGTGTTGTAGTATCGTTTTTGAAGCGGGAAGCTCAAAAAACCGCAAATTTCTTACGCAGACTGTGAAGTTATGAGTGCATTTCAGACTTTGCCGATGCGCTCATCGTGATTTTTGAGGCATTAGCTATAAGAAACAACTCTTATTTTTGCTCTAGCAAAAGTTTGCAACAGGCCCATTGTAAGAAAATTGTTCTGCAGTCAAAATTTTATCCAACATAAAACTACCCTTGTCACTTTAACTTCAGCTGCTGTTGCACATTAACTATCAGTTAATAAAAATATAATTTCCTTATCAACGATAAAAGTACTAGTGTGGCACCAAAATAATTACAACTACTAAATAAGACACAAAATTTTCGTAATACAAGACTCTGAACCTAACCTAAGTGAGCCGACAGTTCTTGGAATCATCCAACTCAGCGTCAAATATATACTAGCAGCCAAAAAAATCTGGCTAATAAGTCACGGGTTGCAATTATCACGCAATCTTTAGCGCGACGTCAACTCAAAGTCCCTCGGCAAGCGGCAAACGGTGCACCTTGCATCAAAGGACAAAGAGTATACATACAGTTTGCTTAAATCTTCCCAAGTTAACGATACTTGAATATCTGCTATCACATTGATCATATCACAAGTTCAACGGCGCTTTTCGTCGCGCCGTTCCAACATTTTCATGTTTGCACAACTGAGTTTCGCAAAATGACTTGGCGCCCTCGCGAGCCACTTTTACGCACGGTTGAGTCTGGCTGAAGAGATGCTTCGCGGCTTTCGCTCATCTCGCTTTGCGTACTTGATGATGAGAGAACAGGCGGTTTCTCCTCAAATACTGAAATCATCAAGGGAAATTATTAGGCAAGGAAGAGTAAAATCCTAAAATAATTAGAGAAACACAGACATAATGAATACAATTCTTATCGATTTATCAAAGATTACTGATTTGAGGTAAATTAGAAATATCTTAAAGGGAATTCTTTCTCCCTGACAGTATGAAAGAAAAATTTTCAATCAAGTGAAGAGCCTGAGACAAGTCATAGAGGTATTATTAGATAAATTACCAGTCAAAAAAGTCAAAAACCAAATATAAACGCAGAAAAATATGCATTTTAGTTTGTGATGCTTTTGATTTTCTTTTGAGAAAAAAAGTGTACTTGCATGAAAGAAAATTCAAGATAATGATAATGGATAAGGTAGATAACGGATAGGGTAGATAACGGATGAGGCAGATAACTTACGTTTATCAAGACTGATGATAGACCCCGTATGCACTAACGGATGAACTGGTAGGACTGTTGCGGCTTGTTCCAAATGCTTCCTCCGCCTGATCAGCCACCAATCCAATATGAATAGAGCCAAGGCAAGGGCTTTGATACTGATGCACAGTCCAACGTACCTGTCATTAAGAGGAATTAAGTTGTGTAAGACTCGTAAACAAAGTTTTTTTAACATTCTTCTAGCGTGCCAGAAAGACCGGGCAGAAAAGAATCAGAATTAAATATTATGGGTCCTGACAAAGATAGGAAATAAAAATTCCAATTAAATCAAATTGACTTTCAGACAGCCGTTTGTTTTTTAACCTCAAGGGCTGGACTGGGTAGTTGTGACTTTGAGCAAATATTACGTAAGTACAACGATGCTTCAAAATGAAAGTATGAATACTTCAAAAGAGGTCTTTACTTTAAAAAATGACTGATGAAAAAGCGACAAATAATTTAAAATCATTACAAAGCATATTCATCTTTTTTTTTTCTGCAGGGCAGGACCCTGCACGGAAAACCAAGAGATTCCGCACAGCCTTAATTTGGTTATTAGTTGCAATGATGTTCTTTAAAACCTTCTGAGCACGATACTTTCAGTAATTGAACATTTTGTGGGTCACTTGCAAGAAAATAGAGGTTGAAAGGTAAATTTTTCAGCATTTCCAAAAGTATTACCTATCCAATGACAATGTTGCAATATCTGATTGTCAATCAAAGGCAACTTTTGTCTCCACACAGGCCAGAAACATGAGACCGATAAAAAGAAATAAAAATTCTACAAATGATAACCGCACGCAGCTCAGTGTCCAATGTCGGGAAGGGCAAAGTGACAGTTCTATATCTCCGTAAGAAAATGCAGGTAAATATGTCAAGAAATTCACTTTTTACCCTCGATATCCTAGACTTTGACATACAGAAAGTTCAATTTTAAAAGCTTGTCGTACTTAGGAGATTTTGAAAAAAATCATGTAAAATATCTCGAAATTCGACAGCGAAAATCGAATTCAACATTTCGAGATTGTTAATTTTTTTGTTTTCTATGTACAGTTCTTGGCTTGACTGTTTTCTCCAAGCATTGAAAAAATTGCACTGCAAGTAGAATGTAATTTAATGCAGGAAAAAGTTGTCATAGTGTAAAATTTGCTTGCAAAATTTACTAAAACTTGCAAACCAAATGATTATTTAAAAAAAGAAGAAACTGAAGGAAAAAAGTTTTAATAAGAGATTATATAAAGGAAAAAAAAGTTATTCGTTTATTTTAAGCTGAATGAAAAAAATGATACCCACCTGTATCTAAATTGTTCTATGTCATACAATAGACACCTGCCACCTTTCTCGCCACACGTTGATTTCCATAGCAAGCAGGTCGAGTCAATTAAATTACCAAATAAAATGGGAGCTGGAATGTAGCCGAAAAGCCGGAAAATTACAAACTGCATGCCCAAAGCGAATGATCTTTCTTCTTCATTGACAGATCTAAAAAAAAAACCAAAACAAAACGCTGAGTTAAATTTTATTTTAACATTTTGATTTAAACTGTATCTGTTTTTCTAGAATTATGCTCTTCGTTCTTCTAACTGCACATTTTTAAAACGGTGAGCTTTGTCGATTAGGCTGAATTTTTCAAACAACAGCATTACTGCTGTGCTAAGGAAAAATAAGAGCATTTACCTTTTGTAAAATTTCAATCCTATATATTAAAATGCAAAGTTCCGAATCTTTGCGCGTTAACTTTGAGAGAACCACCGGACCAATTTGCCTGATCTTTTGTTTAAATGAAAGCCCCTGAGCTGTAGATTTGCAGGCTGTAATTTGTTTTCCGACTTTTTCAAATTTTCTCCTATAATTTTCTCAAATTTTCTCCAATGTATTAAAACGGAGGTCCGAATCTCTGGACGTTAACTTTGAGAGAACCACCGGAACGATTTGCATGATTTTTGTTTTAAATGAAAGCCTCTGATCTGTAGATTTGCAGGCTGTGGTCGTTTTTACGATTTTCTCAAATTTTTTTTCCTTTCATCGACGAGTGAAGTTTAGCTAGGCTCGAATTTTCTCCCATTGATTCAGACTAAAGTCCGAATTTTGGGACATTAACTTTGAGAGAACCACCGGACCGATTTGCATGATTTTTGTTTTAAATGAAAGCTTCTGATCTGTGGATTTGCAGGCTGCAATTGTTTTTTCAATTTTCTAAAATTTTCTTACTTTTATCGACGAGTAAAGTTCAGCTGTTTCGAGCGGTCGTCCAGCCGCTACCTGCTTGCCCGTCCCTAGGTACCCCCCCCCCTCTACGGTCTCAGCCACCCCTCCCAATACGTTCTTTCGGCAATCTCCGTTTTCTTTCGTATAGCTTTCCTCCCTCCAAGAAGGAGGTTTGGGTCACAGCGTTGTTCGTCACTCGCTACCCACATTCCTCTGCAATCCCTCGGCTGCTCCGCTTCACAGCTTCTTGATATCCTGGCATCTTATTCTCTGCGGCTTGACTGACCCTGACTTATTAACTGCAGTATTGCGTATTGCTAACAACACGTATTGTTACGGATATTTTATTCATCATTATTAAATAGATTCAACTAATTGCTCCGATTCCAATTAAGCTACTGCGCCACCAATGCTAGCTGTGGAGGGCGGGAGCAGCTAGTAAAATGTTAATTTTCAAGAAAACTTATGAATATTTTTGCTTTAAATATTCACATACTGACTCACGATAAAGAGTGAGAATCTTTAGCTATCAATACTTAATTATATAACAAATCATAGTATCACTCTATTAAGAAGCTTTAAGTTCTGTCGTAAATATGTGAATCTGTGAAAAGGTTCTAAATGTACTTTCGCCATTTTAGATCTTGCGCTATCTTTAAGAACTTTTATTATTCAAAAGTTTCAGTTCCTCACCTTAGAACTATCATTAATAGAGGCATTTGAGTGACCGCAACAACAAAAGTCATGAAAAACAGTAAAATTAGAAACGGGAAAATTGTTCGACAGGAGGAATTACAAGGGCCTGCAGTCGCAACAGGCACAACAGTTACTTCAGCAAAATCAGCAGCTCGACTCATGTTTCCATGGATACCTGAAAAAGAAAATTAAAAAATGAGATTCAGTAACGGAAAACAAAATGCAACAAAGTAAACAACAAAAATCTGCTTGGGGTTTCCAGCAAAACACGAATATTTTCTTGCGATTTTGCCGACTTCATATTACACTTTATTTCATCTCTAGAAAACTAGTCAACTTAAATTGATAAAATTTCCTTCACTTGACTGATAGCAGTATTCTAAGTATAAATTTCAAGCTATAAAATTGACTTGTTTGTTTTTGAAAAAATAGTATGGGAGCAGAAATTATGAAACACCATAACAGAGATAAATGGTTTTGCACTTAGGCCATTGATATGGTACATTTGGGGGAGGGGGGAGTTGCACTCTGTCCGAGTTTAGAATTATAGTAGTTTTCAAACCAAGAAATCGTCCAAGAGCTCTGATTACAGTAGAAATATCCACTGAAAAAACTGAAGTCATCATTTAGACAAATGAGTTTAAAAATATAGTTTTTCATTAGTTGACTTTTGAAGGCATATTCGTACTAAATTTAAACTTTCAAATCTAACTCATATTCAACAGCACTGCAGACTTTTTTTTAAAGTATCGCATCAAGCATATACTCTCATTTCGATCACTGAAAGGCAATATTAAAATTTTAATTGAAACTATGAATCATTTGTATTGTCTGATAATATATTTTGCGACAAAAAGTCATTCTTAGAATATTTATGCAAAATCCCTTTTCAAATGAGATTAAGTTTGAAAAAAATTTCCTTGATGGAACCTTCTAGAGAAAGGACGAAAAGGAAAAATGCTTACAGGCACAATTGGTATAATTGGAGCGTGAAGATAAGGCTGTACATCCAGCATGACACGGGCTGAAGTATGTTAAGCCGTTATTCCCACACACCGGTTCTACATCTGTCATTGGACACTCGCAACCAAAATTACAAGCGGCAGTTAAGTTCACTTGGAATGGTTCTAGTTTTGAGCTATAAAATACAAGAGAAAAATATAATTACAAAACATTGATTTTCTTTTTTTTTTTAGAAAAACGTCATCACATTATAGTAGATCACATGCACAAAAATTGAGTTACAGGGTAACCGCTAGTAATTATCAGTGGAGAATATTTTAAAACAAAATATGTTCATTTTAAGTAAATTTTTAATGGTTCATTCTTGTTTATCATTTCTTGTTCACCAAAAGAGCTTAATGCGAAAACGACTTGTATCCCCCTTCCTCTTTGAATTTCTTTCCGATTCTGTCTCTTGATTACTTCAATCTGAGCTCTCCTTTTACCAAAGTTTCAGACCACCAAAAATTTTGGAGGAATGAGTAATGGGAGTCAAAGTTTTGAATCTCAATACCTCCCAAATCAAAAAAGATATTTACATCCGGTCTTTACGAACAAAATTTCAAAATGACTTACTTTTTGATTATAGAAAGAAAACAACCTCAAACTTTTTTTCAGTTTTTGAAAAGAAGAAATTTCTTATAATCAAAGAAATCATAGAGATCTTAATTTTTGACCTGGACTAAAACTCGCCTTTAAAGTTGGCCAACTTATTCCGCACCTAACGAATAATGATAATTTTTGGGGAAACAAACGGATCAAGAATTAAAAATGACATAAGGTGAACACTTAATGAAAATTCCTCAAGAAAAAGAATTAACTTCAAAAACAAATTCCATTAAACCGTTAAATAGTTTCTGGACAAATCTGGTGGGTAAGCTCCATTTCAAAATTCAACGAAATCAATAAATAGCAGAAACGCTATTGAAGCTCTTACCTATTACTGTATGGAATTGTTGTGCCTGCCATTTTCACATTGTCGCAACCCAAGAAAAACAAAAAACCATTGCAAGTAAGGCAGATGATGTTCGATATCAGAACAAACTGGACAGCACCTTTTGGTTTCAATTCTAGCCGCTTGAGTAGGCAGCCTCCAAAGAATATGCCAATACAAGCTCCTGGAATCGCGATAGACCCTGAAAAATTAGGAACGAATCAATGTTTTATTGATGAACAATTTCAATGCTTAAAATCTATCTCTAAGTTGACTATAAGTTTCAGTTTCTAACTGAATTATAATTTATTTAAAATTTGATACATACAATTCATGAGAAAATTAGCAATATAATAAGAATGATACAGCACTATGCTAATTCTGTGAACATTCACAAAAAAATACCTTAATACTGGAAAATTAAGAAAATTGAGTCATAACCACTGTTGCATATGGGAAAAAACAGAGAAGATGGCCGGATCTGCCTCAGTCAGGATATTGAAAAAGGTCGAAAAGGTTAGATTTTAACTAAAATGTTGGTGTTGAAATAATAAAAAGAAAATTAATCAAAATCGCTATTTCACACAAGTAAATAAATTTTGCTTTTTCTTTTCGATGTACCTACATATATTATACAATTTTATACAAAGCTAAAAGTAAAGGGTGACCTTTAAACTAAATAAATTTAAAATAGAAACATATTACTTAATTCAGTTTAAAGAGAACGTAGCTAAAATCAAAATTAAAGATTACGTTCACTTTCTGGCGACCTACATCCATATATTTGAGAAAAACCTGGCCTTACCTGTGAAAATGCTAGCTTGGCTTTTGCTCAGACTAAACTGGGTCTCCAGATATTTTGGTAGAAACACAACGAACCCAGAGACTATGACCAGTTCCATACAAGCTGCGAGACAAGTTACAACATAAACAGGATTGCACATTAATCTCCACATCGATCGAGGAATGTCTGAAACAAAAAAAAAACCATTTATACTAACAACAATAAACTAGCTAAGTGTTCTTTTTCTTCTTTATCATAGTATTGAAATCAATTAACAAAGATTTTTGCTCTAGACTTACAATAATTTGACTTAAAAGACTTAAGATTTTTGTTACATCTTATCTTATCAGGTATCTACACCCATCATGTGCCTATCCACCTAGAGTGAAACTACCAGACCACGTGTCTCGTTTGGAGTGCTTAAAAATCTCCGCTCCTATTTTATTTTTTTTATTTAAAAAATGAAATATAACAGGAAGTACAGCGTCGCAAACGGGGATAAGTCATTTGGTACTTTCACTGTTGATATATCACCTGCATGTCCTGTATGACATGGCACAATGTATGACCTGTATAATAGTCATGTGCATGGCTCATGTACCAATTTTAAAAATAAAATCCTCATTGTACAGTGGTCTCTTAAATACGGTAATTTTACACTGTAAATGCAAAGATCATCTAACTTCACACTAGAAAGAAATTGGGTAAAACAATACTTGACACGTTGCATCTTAACTTCTTTTTACTTATTTGTTCCTATAGCTTTGAGATAACATCGATGGCTGAAGTCGGAAATGCAAACCTCTGATTGAAAATTTAATATCTGTTTGTGGTTCATTTTTTTTAACGAACACAAACAATTTACTGGACATTTTTGGTGAATTTCTTTCAATTATTTAATAAATTTTGACAGAAAATTTTGAGGAGATATTATGGTTGATGATCTTTTCAAAATATATAACTTAATTAAATACTTTGAAACGCTCTAAATGGAAATACACAATTTTCATTTTAGCCATCAAAATGCCAAAAAGGGCAAACTTTGGTGACCAGTTAAAACAACTCCAGACCAAGGGTCAAAATAAAATGTTTAAACCCTGGGTTTGATGATAGTTTGTTGTCAATGTACCCATGTAATTTTCTGTAGACAGACATCAGTTGATAGAGTTGCCTTTACTAGCCAAACATGGCACCATAGGAGCATGGAGCACTTTAGCATTGTAGTTGTATACAAGGTGGTTTTGAGTAAAACCAGTTTTGAGTAAGATTTGCATTGAAAGTCCCAGTGTTGCCAAAATTGAAGTTCACTTGACGATTCCCAGGAAATTTTGATTTGATACGCGCAGGATGACGAATCTGTGATACATAAAAGAAACTGATGAACATACCTTTAATGTCTTTCCCATATCCTGTGTCAACATTAGACGTAGGACTGCTGACACTTTCTGATGATTTTGGTGCGCAGCCAACCCCGATACTGGATTTTGCCATCAACCTGATTTTTTCTTTTTCACGCTGTAAAATTGGAGGGCAAAATTTGTAAATATGATGTATTATTTACCAGCCTGATTACAATTTTAAGCTATAAAATGAATTGAAAAGGTCTTAAATTGTTCATGGGAGACAATTGAAATTGTCATTTCGAGATCTGATACTTGATTTTAGGTATTTTGAAAATTCATTGAAACACTAGCTCGACAATGAAAATCAACGCAAGATAAAAGAAATCATACATTGACAAATATCTAACAATAAAGAGGTGATGATGGTTGTTAATGTGTTTATTTGAAGTTTTGAAGGTGTTCTAATATAATACATTCTGTATCTATGGCCTTATGATTAAATAAAGAATGTATAGAGACAAAGAGAGAGCGCTTCTCTTTGATTCTTTGATACTTTATTCTTGCTTTACTATAACTCCAACAAGTCAATAAAACTGGACACATTTTGTTGCCTCCTACAAGAAGGAACGTAACTTGACTGCATTGTTTCAGTATTCCTTACTGAAATTTTATTTCTTTTATGGGAGAATTGTCAGATAAATTTGTCTGAAACAGTGATTTTTGTTGAGAGTTGCAAGAGAAGACACTAAAATTCTCAAAAAAATTGAGGAATGGTTCTCCCATTAAGACTCAAAATATCCGCATGAATACTGAAACAGCACAGACAAAATAAGTTCCTTCATGTTGGAGACGACGATTTGTCAACAGTTTTTTCCCCAAGGATTTATTTTACTTATCTTTCACTTAATGATGTAGGATAAATTATTCATCTTTAAAAGAGAATGATTGTCTTCCATTTTAATGGTACTTTAGAAAAAAACACAATAAAACAAATTCATAACTGACCATTATTTGTGAATTTTTTATGAGCATTCCAGCTCAGAAATAATCTTTCGAACTTTTTTGATCATGGCAAAAATAATATTGTACACAGTTTATATCATATTTAACTAAAAAACTTTATTTAAATTTACTTCTAAATTCTTTTTAATAACTCTGGTTATTAAGATACTGAATACTTTAATGTCATTGCCTAAAATTAAACGACTACAGCCCCTTGCCACAACTGAAAAAGATAAAGCCCAAAGCAAAATGTGTGCTTTTTAGATGTTTGAATGTTCATATTGCGATTTCAGTTAAAACAAGTAAGTAACAATTATTTCTGAGATTCTTACCGTCAAAACTTTTGGGAATGAGAAAAATGGAATTGCAACGAGAATAAGCATTACACCGCACAGGAGAAATCCGCCCCACCAAAGTCCGACCCAGTGTTTATCTCCAGGACCTGAAAATAAACCGTCAACATGAGCCATTAATAATTGGTTCATTTACTAACATAATTTGTATTTAACTTGACAAATAATTTTAAAATATTTACTCAAGAAGTCAATTTATTGAGCTCTATTGAGTAGAAATAATCTTACAGTACCTTTATAGGCTCTACAATGAACAAAAAGGGTGTCTACTAAAACAGGCTGGCCAAAAATCAGTACTTCAGTACATTCAAAGAAATTCAGTACCTCTTTAATAGAAAGATTCAGTACATTTTCAGTACCTCCGTTTGACAAAATTTCAAAAAATTGAATTTCTCTCTCAAATTGCGACAAAAAAAGAAAAAATGAAATAAATTTCAGACCTTCTTGTGGAATTTCTGAACTTTTCCATTATTTAAATCAAAAGGGAACCGCCCTTAGAAAATTAGTACTATTTCCGGGCTTTCCGGCAATTCCAGACTTGTAGACACCCTGCACGGGGATATTTTTTAAACCTCCTTCGTGAATGGATTCCTTCCGTTAAAGGACCTCTGATTGTCCGATAACACATGAATTAATTTAGCCAAAAATGAGTGAGCTAAAATCTTTAAACACTGAATTTCATTCAAAATATTCATTAAGCTGCTCTCTTCTGATAACTTTTGTAAAAAAATATCAAAGCGCAAGCGCCCGAAAGCAAAAAGAAATAAGTGATCGTCTAATTTCCTTTTGAAAGAAAGGTAGTTTTTAATAGTTTGAGAATGCCTCCGTTATGAAGTGTTAGAAATATGGAATTATTTTTGTTCAAGATTGTGTGATAACTTAAATACTAAAAAAGATTCAGAAAAAGGGTTTTCACATACCAATTGAAATTTTCGCATTTGATAAGGAGTCCATATGATACGATAACATGTATGCTCCTAGTAAGAATCCTAATACAGGTCCAAAAGCTGCCATACTGTACATACAACCTGCAACATCAAATTGAAACTTGGTCTTTAAAATGATACACAACGTTAATACGAAAAGTAAATGAAAAAGAGGAAAATCCTTTCATACGTGAAAATTACTGACAATTTTTTTTTTTTTTTTCAGGAAGAATTTTAAAGAAAATACATATATTGTGTATTTGCTATAAAATAATTATTCGTAATAGATGGCATGTTTCATTGAATTTTAAATTCTTAGACTTAGGAAAGATTTTGACACAAAAGCTCCCAATTTCCTTCTGAGTATTTGAAGTGTTGGGAAACACATCCAAAAGGAATTTTTGACACAATGTCTATTAAAGCAGAAAAAATAACATTTCAGTTTTGTTGCTCCCTCCCCAAATGACTTTTGTTTAACACTTTTTGTTTAACAGCAAAGATTTCTAAACTAGACCTCATATTTTAGAACAAAGTACAATTTTTTTCCTATCCTGGTTCTTTCTAGTCTTTTGAAAACTTTTCGGGTATCTTGCATTTATGCATCTTCAAAGATATCGGCTGGTTCTAACAAAGGGAGGAAACTGACAGTGGTAATTAAGTCAGATCAAGGTTAACTGTCACTTGTTCTGTCTGCAGAAAAGAGGGAGCAATGAATGTACAATTTAGAAAAAAGAAAAAAATCATACCTATATACAATGAGGCGGAGTCGGACCGAACATGGTCGTCTATGTAAGTTGTTCCCAAGGTAAAGAGCGGGGACCCTCCACAGCCGAGCAAAAGCTGAGCCAAGAGGAATAGTAAAACAGGACCTGTCGTCGACGGAGATCCTTGGATGCAGTTTTCCCGCAAATTGTTATGAGGCGCTAACGGAGGGGAAGATAAACCTAAAGTGACAAGTGAAAAATTGCATTAATTACAAAAACTGAAGCCATTTCTACTTTTGAAAAGTATGTTCAATCTATAGTTGGCAAGGCAAGAGATCTATCAATAGTGAACATTACTACAAGCACCATAATTTTCTTCTTCCGGAAGGGATGAATTAAGGCATTTCCTAAAAATCAAACTTGCTCCGATTCAAGACTTTATCAGAGTTATAAAACACACTTTTAAATAAATGAGATTGAAAGGAAGTAGAGCTTCTGCCAAATAAGTTGGCGATTGTTTACTTTCCATAAGCAAGCGGGTGTGCTGCTGCCGTTCAATAGCAATCGAGGATTGATAAAAGGCGAAAACGCAACCTTGTGCAGATACGAAAAACTGTCATATGAGCATGACACTTAAAAGTATACAACTGCAAACCTATCAGATGAGAGATGTAGGTATTTGCCTCAGGAGAAAGTTATGATGTTTTGAAGTTTACGTATTTGAAAGTAAGAACATAAGTAGAGGAGTGGTAATTTCAGAGATGGACAATTTTTAGATACCTGAAGAAAGTCGGCCGAAACCTAGATCATGTTCCCGGACAGAAACAACCTTGCAGATGTTTTCATTGGAGGTGTTGGTCATTAAATCCCCTGAGTAAGGTTCTGCAATGAAGTGCGGTAGAATAAATAAAATGGAGCCAATTCCCATGATAAGAGCACCTGAAAAATGAAATTTAAAGAAAACATTAAAAATTTGAAAAAAAAAGAAAAACAAAGAAAGCAGAACTTTTAAAGGTAAATTTTTACAAAAGCGATTGAGACATGATGTAAGCTTTGGGAGACTGAGTTATTGATTTGGGGAAAAGTACAATTCCTTGGGCTAAAAAGAGGTTGCTGGCCTATTAATTCAATTTTTCGAATTCACCTGATCAAATTATTAAAACGGCCACTTGGAAATTTAATCACCTACAGGTCACAGGTCAAATATGAGGGAAAAACAGGGTATTAACCTTGGGGCAACAGGTAAAGCTTATAATTTATTTACTTCCTGAATACCTGAATTTTCCCTGACTTCTTTCGCTTTTCTCCGACACAAAATTTTCAAATTCTCTGACTTTTCCTGGTCTTCGAACAAAATTTTTATTTAAAATTTTATCCTTTTTTTCCACTTCTGGAGATTGAAATCATGTATCAAGGCACTTAGAAGTTTTTTGCGCTCTCTTAAATTGGACTAGCTGAAGTTGCTGAGCCGACACTCTCCTCGCAAAATTTCCTGCCTTTCGTGACTTTCCTCAGTCAGTCAAGTCATTCCAAATTCCCTGACATTCCTGGTTTTCAAGACTGAAAGCACAGACACAGTAAAAGTGCCCTCCTGATTCCAAACCCCCTTTCTTCTTTTCTTTCTTCCACCTTTCTCTTGCACTTCTAGGGTGAATAATATGGAATAATATGGGAGGTCAACCCCTATCATGTTCAGTAACTGCAAATACTTGGCATCATGGAAAAAAAAAATCAACCTTATGACCTCGTGTCGTGAAACGTAAGAAAGAAATGAAAGACTGGAAATTTCAATTAATATTCCATTAAAAAATATTCCAATGAAATATTCCATTGAATTTCACGAGGCTGTGAAATATTTGGTATTTTTCAGGGGCTAGAGTATGCAACCCGCACTCAGACAAACGCAAATAGAAGAAAGTCACAATTTTTACATTTTGCAAAACATGAAAAGGAACTGATAGGTTTCAATATCTTTCATAAATTTCTGAAATTTCATGAGATATTTCACGTGAAATTTCAAGATTTTACTCTTAATGAAATTTTGCCACCCTGCTTGTGGCTCAGTGGCCACCTCTGGCCAAGGGTGAGTTCCATATTATTATTGCTTCTCCTCATTGCTCACTATTCAATCTAAATTGCATGAAGGGACACAATACCTCCAGGTTTCCCCCTTCCCCTTAATGTATAATTTTCTAGTCCTTTCTACAAAGAAAATGGATTGATACGGTTGATTTAAGTCGAAGACTATTCTTACTGATTGCAATCCAAACAGGAATATGTCTTCAAGATCCAAGATAACTGAAAAAGATGACACTTATAATCTCAGAGATCCAAGATAACTGTCAAAGATGACAGTTATAACATTGCCATTTTCATGCACTGAGGTAATAATTCCAGGATTCCCCCTTCCCCTTAACGTATACGTAATTTTCGGGTCCTTTCCACCAATAAAATGGATTGATACAGTTGACTGAAGCCTATGGCTATTCTTACCGATTGCAATCCAAACAGGAATATGTCTCCGAGATCCAAGATAACTGACGAAGATGACAGTTATGACATTGCCAATTTCATACGCTGAGGCAATGAGGCCGGACAGACTTGAGGGGATCTCAAACCGTTTTTCTATTGTCGTTATCACAGAGTTGATATAACCTGAGCTGAGACCTTGCTGCAAGGTTACTAAGAAGGACAGAAGAAAAACAAAAACCTGCAAAAAAAACAAAAAAAAACGATAATTTGAGTTAGGCCTCGAATAAAATAAAAATGGAATAAGAAATTACCTTAGTTCGAACATATTAAAAGGAGACATAAGAAATGGGCCGCGTTTAGCAGAAAGGAACCAAGCCACATCAGCTACTGCTAAATTTATCTGGGCAATTTAACTTTTTAAATGAGAACGCTTCTGTGGATTCCTTTGAAAATTTTAGGAAATTTGCTTCATACTATTCAGGAAATTCACTGAAATTTGCACAAAAATCCGCACAACCGTCTTTGTGTAAAAAATTGAAGTGCCCAATTAAATTTGGTAATAGCTGATGTGGCTTGGTTCCTTTCTGCTTAACGTGGTCCAAATAAGATTATTAAAACATGGGAATCCCAAGATTTCTTAAAAATTTTGATAAGTTCCATTGAAGCTTCATTTGGACCGCATTAGCAGAAATGAGCCAAGCCACATCAGCAGATTTAATTGGACAATTTTATTTTTTACATGAAAACGGTTGTGCGGATTTTTTTGAAAGTGCTAATGAATTTTCTGCATAGAACGAAGCAAATTCCCTAAAATTTTCAAAGAAATCCGCTCAAACGTTCTCTTGTATAAAATTAAATTGCCCAGTTAAATTTGGTAATAGCTGATGTGGCTTCGTTCCTTCCTGCTAAACGCGGCCCATTTGAACCGCAACATCGCAACGCCTCAATAATCAACGCAGCCGAGGTGAAAGAAGCGCCTTCAAATACTAGCACTACTCAAGAGTATTGATAGTGGTATGCCTTCTCTATGCAGGGGCTTCGTGTTGAAAGATTCACGATTCGCTTGGGAATGGGTGCATAATGAAGAATTTCTACGACTCAGCTGATCACAAATAACGGTTGTGAAATGTATCATCACGAAACACCAAGTAATAACATCTGCATAACTGACGTCAACAGAATCTACCATTTTTTTGGGCATTGCAAAAAATATTAAAGCGCCCCCGTTGCGCAGAGCGCACGTGCTTCGAGAACGCTTCGCAGGTGATCAATCTTGTGCTATGAGGCATGGGAACAGAATTCTTTGAATAATGGGGTTCGTTTACACGGGGGGGGGGGGTGGTGGTGGTGGGGGCGTTCGACTGGGAAGACTTGAAATCTCACACTTACTATTTGGAAACGATGGGTCTACTTAGGCAATTTGAGCACACAGCTTGTGTTTTTTATAAATATTCACTGGAAAAAAACACATTGGATCTAGAGTCCAGACTCTTGAAAACATTGACAAGAAAAAGGACTCTTGATTCAATCAGATTTAAGCTTAAATCAAGAACCAAGCCTCTTAGTTTGAGCGGACTTTCTTTTGAGTTAAGCTTAAATCTGATTGAATCAAGAGTCCTTTCTCTTGTCAATGTTTTCAAGAGTCTGGACTCTAGATCCAATGTGTTTTTTTCCAGTGTCCTTTTTCCTTGGAAGCAATATTTGCAATTTGAGTGCATAGCTTGTGTTTTTATGGGTACTCTTTTTTTCGAGGAGACAATATTTGCGATGCAATTTGCAGACGGGACCCTTCGATATTTTAAATGAAAAATTCAAAAAGCTAAAAATGCGTTTTTAAGTCAACATTTCTGGTTATTCTGCGTATTTGCAAATGCAAGTTGCAAGATGAATCCTTCGATGTTTTCAAAGAGACGCACAGAGGACTAAAAATGCGTTTTTAAAGTTAAAATTTCTGATTATTTTCTGATTATTCTGATAATTTGCGATGCACTTTGCAGAGGGAGCCCTTCGATATTTTACAAAAACGTTCAGAGGGCTAAAAATGCGTTTTGAAGTCAACCTTTTCAATTACTTTCTTCTTCGATTAAATATTGTTACACACTTGATTATGCAAAATATTTTTTACAAACTATTTTTAAGCCAGGATGAGTATAACAACACAGAAAAAATGGATTGCTGATTTAACAATTAAATTGTTAAAAAATAGGTCCGACAAGTCCGACAATAGTGGAAAGCTAATTTAACCACGGAGGTACAGTTAATTTAGCATTTTTTTTACTGTAAAATCTACATTGAAACATGGTTGACAATCTTTTTAACTACGTTAAATCAGAAATTCCATTCATTCTGTGAAAAACATTGTTATTGAAATTGGTATTTTTAAAGTTTCGAAGTTATTGTTCTTGATAACTATGGTGCGGCTTACTTTGACGCTGGCGAATTGTTGTAAAGCGTAGGGTCTGCACTTGAAGATGCCGCACTCTCTGGCGTCATCGGGCAGGGCAGCGGCCAGCTGCTCGGCCAAAGCTTGCGCTTGTCGACTTCTCTCCTTAGCCTCTTCATTTCTGAAACAAACAAACAAAACCAACATTTAGTCAGGCTGTTTCGTCACTAAGAGTGACAAATTTCAGTGAAATAATTCATTTTCTAATAATTTAACAAAAAAACAAAAAAAAATCACCTGAAAACGGATTGCATCAAAAATTTTGAAATTACAAGTTGAAGCGGGTTGGGAGGGGGGAGGGGGCCCATCAGAGTAGAATTCTTGGTTTTTTGAAAACTGAAGATGTGATATTTAAGGGGCATCATTTATCGCTGCCCGGGCGAAAGAGCACAACTCCATTCCAAGCTTGCAAAATTGACGCGGACAATTCAATTTTTCTACAAAAATTTATCTGTGAATTTTTGTCCAAAATTTTTATGATTTTTGCATGAGATCAGGAGAAAAATCAGCGGCCTTTTCAGTTAGGAAGGCTCGAACTTCTTCCGGAAAAATTCAATTTGCGGAAGGAACTTTGGTAACGTTGACATGTAGTTACATTCTATCGTGCGGGAGACGACGTATCGCATCGGGCGCATTATAATCTGGAAAAATGGTCATTGGCACTATTTCTCCGGGGTTTAGTTTCCAAGAGATTCGAGCCAATGGAAAAAAAGCTCATAACTTATTTTGAAAGATAAAAACTGTACAGTGAAAAAAGTCTCGCATTTTGACCCAGAAAACACGATATTGCGATCTGACCGTTCAGCCCTGGGACCCTCAATGAAGCCCCCACGAGCACTATGTGACAAACCAACATCTTTAGTCGATATCTGATCACGAAGTAGGACAAAATGACAAATTTGCCTCCTTTTGCTTCCCCGAAAGTCGCCGAGATGGCAGTGGCGTAGAGTGTTTTGCGATGTATCGCTTGGTACACCCTTTAAACCTACGAAAAAAGGTCGATTATCAGGTCGTTCGCAACGAACATCGAACAATCGATTCTTTAGCATAGCTTCAAATGGGGTAGTATCGATAGTCGATTATCGCGCTTCACCACTGGCGCGGAGGGAAGGCGGAGGGGGTAGCTTGAAAAGCGCGAATTATCTCGTGCCGTGCGACGGAGCTCTAAATCATTGCCTTTCTGTAATTTCGGTGATTGACGACGACGAGCCTGGGATGATGCGACATGGGGTCGGAAAAACTTTCCCCTCGTAAGAATATATTTGTTCAATCTATTTTAGGCGCAACATATGTTGACAGTGTGCCTGAAGTCGCTAAGCGCGGAGATTATTCGACATTGTTATGATAACTAGTCGAAATCAGTTGGATTTTGAGACAGAATCCTCGGGGGTGTTTTAGGTTGGAAACGAATTCGATCGAACTTTCAAGATACGCTGCAGAGGGTACGTTCCCTGGCGAGCCCTTAAAGAGCCACTACCCGGGATAACACTTCGCACTAGAAAAAAAAAAAAAACACATTGGATCTAGAGTCTAGACTTTTGAAAACATTGACAGGAAAAAGGACTCTTGATTCAATCAGATTGAAGCATTCAGAAGCTTAAATCAAAAGGAAATCCGCTCAGATTAAGAGGCTTGGTTCTTGATTTAAGCTTAAATCTGATTGAATCAAGAGTATTTTTTCTTGTCAATGTTTTTAAGAGTCTGGACTCTTGATCCAATGTGTTTTTTTCCCGGTGCGGAGGTTTAGAAATAAGCGGAAAATACATTTCATTTTGTTTCAAGAATATAGGTTCAACAAAAATCGCATCTTGGTACTAATCACATACTATCCTCTGCCGATCAAGTGTTGCGTAACGCACTTTTACCGATTTTTTACCGAAAAGAAAGGAGATTCCAAGCTTTTACCAACGATCCCCTGCTTTTCCCGGATTTTCTTCATTCCCTGATGGATTTCGGTTCTTCGAAGTCCTAGAAACCATGATTTTCGCACGGGGTTTAAACAACACAAATTCTCGAGTTCCCAATCGCGTAGAATCCTGAATAGAAACAGTCATCCTACGAATTAACGCGAGCGGCCGAATTACTTTCGTCCGTCCGTCTGCCGCGCGGGAGTTTTACTTTTAATCTGCATATTCGAACTGGGACGGCCGCTTCCGCATTGAGAACGGGGCGCCCCTCGGCCCACGGTGGGATAAAAAGTAGAAAAGTCGGACAAAATGTGGAGATTTTAAAAGCTGTGTAGAACGACCAAGTCCTTTATGTTGACTTTACACAAAAAGTAACATAAAGTAACACAGAATGGCATTAAACATGGAAATTTTTATTTGTGTGTAGCGTAGTATCGTTTTCGAAGCGGGAAGCTTAAAAACATTCATATTACTTACGCAGATTATGAGTTTGAATGTGCATATTAGACTTACCCGATGCGCTCATCGTGATTTTCCAAGGTTGTCACAGAATTTGGAAAATAAAATTCCCTGACATTTCCCTGACACATTTTAGTGAAATTTACTGACAATAGAACAGATGCCGGATTGTTAAAAAGACAGTTGGAAAAAGTTTTTGGGCAAAATTTGTTGTTTTCAGTGTCAAACCCATTCGAGAAAGCAAATACAGGCGAGTTAACGATTTTTCTCGGACATTTTCGTCATTTTCCCTGAAAATTCCAGGTTTTCCCTGACTTGTTACAATTCTTTGACATTTCCCGGTTTCCCCTGACCAACCCTGGTAACCCTGTTTTGGAACCATTTTCTTTAAGAGGCAGCTCTTTATTTTGCTCTAGTTGAATTTTGCAATATACCTATTTAAAATGTGACAGAATTAACATCAAACTTTGCAGTTTCCGTCAAAAACTCATGTCCGACTTCTCTAGAAGGCTCGTTCCATTGTGCGCCGGTCCGCGCGGCGAACTTTCTGAGCCCTTATTTTTATGCGGTCTGCGTTGCGTGGCGCCCATCAGATCGGGCCGGTTTGCATTCCGAGTTCTGACGCGGGCACCGGATCGTGCCGCCCATCTGCCCCACATCGCGCCCGGCCGCCCGCAACCCGCCTAGCACGCGTCCCCCAGTCATGACGTCATTGTCGTGGGTCTCCTCAAGCCCGGAGCTCCCCGCTTTGACCTCTTGTGGAGTAAACGGTTTCCCCGCGGAGCCGTGCTGAGGAAGAACGCCGTATCAACATTCGAGAGTTGCCAAATTTCCTTCGATAAAACGTTCATTTTTAAGAAAAGTAATGCATAATGGAGATGTTGCATGTGTGAGGAATTTGCGATTTGACTGTTGATTCTTATGTAAAAGTTTGCGAGAAACACGATGAAGCCACTGAATTTCTCTGAAATCAACTCCCAAGCTCAAAAAAAGCTCTCAAGTTGAGGCCAAAATGGAGGGGATATCCCACGCTATCCTGAGAGTCCACCTGTACATCAAGACAAACTCTCCATGCAAAGATAGGGAGCAAATACACTAGCAGGGTTGCCGTGTTTTCAGTTTTGGAGTCCCCAAATAAAGTGGCAGCCCTGTCAATGTATTTGCTCCCTATCTTTGCATGGAGAGTTTGTCTTGATAAAGAGGTGGACTCTCAGGATAGCGTGGGATATCCCTTCCATTTTGGCCTCAACTTGAGAGCTTTTTTTGAGCTTGGGGGATGGTTTCAGAGAAAACCAGTGGCACCATCGTGTTTCTCACGAACTTGTACATAAGAATCAATTGTCAAATCGCAAATCCCTTACACATGCAACATTTCCATTTTCCTTCAGTTTTTCAGGACTTTTAAGTGAAATTGCGAACAAAATTTCCTAAAAATTGAAAGACAAAAATTCATAAGTTTACCAAGATATTTGTATTATATCCAAGGAAATTTGGCAACGCCTGAAGGTTCATACGGCGTTTTTCCTTAGCACGGCAGCGCACCCCCCTCCCCCCGTTGCCCGTTTCTTGTTCCTTTCTCCGGGGATCACGACGCTTTACGTCTAATTATGATTCATGAGCATGTGTATGGTAATGTATTGAGCTATGAATACTCATTTCGGTGAACTCATTCGGTGATGGCTCCGTTTGGTTGTTACAGGATTCATTTGAAGATCCGATTTTGCGGATTCACGAGCATGATGAATATTCGTGTGAACGACAAGTTTCTACGGACGTAAGAACATGATGAAACATTGATTGAAGAATAATTGCACTTTGAAAAGCTCGGTGACTGACGTCATGGTTCGGACTATCGCCAATGATACCCAGGTTCAATCCAGGTGACTTGCGCTTGCATTTTGAACCTAAAGTTACCTAATTATTTATCCGTATAAATTATATTGATTAAAAAGATATTAACAAAACAAACTGTAAATAAGTAAGAATTTTAAAATTTGAAAGAATCTTATCAATTAAAATTTAAATATCTATTAAAAACTAGGATTAGTAAAGTATGAAAGTTTGAGCTTTTTCAACTAATCATGAAGATATTGGTGTTCGTTATTTTATTTTTGGTGTTTTTTGGGCAATTTCTTCCATCCCGAAGATTTGGTCAATGTAATCAAGAGAAATACGAGCCAAAAATATTAACCGCATGTTTACGATACTTTGTGTTCTACTTTCCATGATTATAAAAAATGTCGGTAATTTCATCTTACTAAATGCGGTTTAATCTAAAGGTAAACTGGGTTATTTGTTATGCTTCTATGGTTGATTTATACAAGCAAAATGTCAAACCGATCCATGAAAAGGAAAGAGGAAAAACAATTATTACCGTTCCCGACAAAAACTTCATTGACTAACGACAGCGAAAGCTCTAAGAATCCATCGTTCAACATGACCCGCTAAGGTTAAGTTGGGTCATACCACTATTTCAACTCCTAGGAGCTCGGGTTGCATACCTAGCAAAATCGAAGGCGCTCCGAATCGGTACCATTCCAGAGCGAAGATACCCGTAGGAAAAAACCCGAATGTTTGGCGCGTTCATATGTGTGCGATGTTTCTTGATTGATGAAAATCACATTGATTTTGGATGGAAACGAGATTTCCTGATTTTTTGCGTACGTTAATTAATCGACGCTCGTTTGACTTAAAAAATCGACATATTCAATGAAATAAATCGTAAGTTTGAAAAATACTCGAAGCACTCAAAATT